TAATAAAACACATGTTACAGCTAATGTTGAAAATCGGATAATGTCAACTTTTCGTTCAGTAAACAGATTCTGTGCAATTGGTTTTAACATTAGAATGAATTGGTTTATTATCAAACATAAAGTTAAGAACGTTGTCTACGTTTGTATTGTTGGTATTTAAATGTTCAAACGAGATTCGAGTATGCGAAATATTACAATTTAAAAATCACCGTATCCTTATAAACCAACGTATCACGTACAATCACAGGCAATGTTTTTACCTTTATGTTTGATAAGAAGCCACTTCACGCCAATAATTAAACCAACAGCACAAAATCTGTTTACTGAACGAAAAGTTGACATTATCCAATCTTCAACATTACCCGTAACATGCATATTAAATCAATATCTTGAAAAATATATGGAGTCCATAAAAAATCGTTTTACTTTATTCGGTTGTATTAAACTACAGGTAGTAATTTTAAAAATGTGTGCAAGTAGTAAAATATTAAAAAAAAAAAAACCATTTGGTATTTTATTATATTCGAATTCGTATAAAAATCAAATTATATGGTATGTAGTTAAATTGTTGACACAAAAATACTTACCTCTTTTACAGTATTGTGGGTTTCTCGGACAATGAAAAATACAAACAGCAGTTTACTCAAACAATATATGAAAAATAATTGGTTATGAAATAACATAGAATATAATTTATTAATATAAACCAATGACAACGCTGTTACACACGTGGTGAAAGTTAAAACCGAGTCCATAATAATGAACATAGCAGGATAAGTGTAATGGTTTTTAACTTCCTCCGTCAAACTTCGAAGTTCATTGTACAAACTAGTTATTTCGTTAGGGTACATAGGTTGTGGACAAGTTAAGGAAAAGTTTATATCTGAAAATAATACAATTGTTAAACACGTCGAAAAACAATTCAATTGAAACAAGTAGGACGTAGCTCATTGATACTGGATTGGTCAATATAATAAGTAAAAAGTTGAATTACGTAGGTTATATAGATAGTAATTTAGTTTATTAAAAGAGCTATAATAAATATAAATTTATCGACCAAATTTAACACTGTTAGATTTATGGCGTCCAGTATTATTTATTTTATTGTTAAATTAACTTTTTGTGAATATTTTTTACAAACCAACTAATTGTGATAATAAAATAAAATAGATACATAGTGCTTCATAAAATATTTTTTTAGAAATAAAACATTTACAAACTTTTCTATCAGAAATATTACTTTAACCGTCAAATTTAAAAAAGGTTTTTGGTAGAAAGTGTTTTCTAGTTAGATTTCTAGTTAGGTGCATTGAGGTGCAATTTTTTAAGTTTTATTGACATTTTCTTAATAATTAGGTATTATTCATTTCTAGATGTGATAAAATACTCAAAACAATAGGACGATTTTTAATTTTTATAGTCATTTTAAATTGTATAATATTTTGAGTTTATTTATTTGATTTGGTTTTATGTGGAAAAAATGGTTTTGGACCAACAAAAATGTTTGACAATTTGTCACGCGGTTAAATCATAAGAGACAAAGAAGAAAATAGTGAAAATTTAATTTTTTGTTTTTGTAGAAGTTAGGTTAACATTTTACCGAAATTCGTAAAATGTATGATATTTTAAAGCAGATTTGATTTGTTTTCATTCAGAATCGTTTTTCTTTGGGAAAAATGTATCATTGCGTTCAGGTATGAATTAAATTCCACTATACATCATCCTACATTCTTACCTTCCTAAGTCTTTTAAAGTAATTTTATGATATTATTAAAACTTTAATGTACCGATAACTAATTATATACGTTTGTGTATTGGGTAAAACTAATTTTGAGTTTTTGTTCAATTTAAAAATTTGCTGAAAAACTTACTACATGCAAATATGTGATTTGCCCATTTGTATCTTTCTCTTAATATCCTTACAAATACTAAATATTGAATGATCATCAACATTGGTGCGATAGAAATCAAAGTCCACATTGCCAAGATGCTAATTCTCGTAAGTGATTTATTCACTGAGATTGAAAAATAGTACGTTTCAATTGATAAAGCGTACAATAAATAAAACGTTTGCGCTTTCAAACTTAATGGCCAGTACTTTTGTAATGTACAGGAGTCAAATGCGTTGAATTTTTCAATCAACTTGAAAAATGATTCACTCCTTTTTATAGAGAATATCACACACAGAAGAGCCACGGAAAATTTAAAAAATATCCGCATAGTTATTAACTGTAATCAAATCACTTTATTAAAATAATAAAAATAAAAAACTAAAAACAAGATACCAACGTTTATTAAAAATTTTTGTTTTGACGTAGTTTTCATCACTTCGCCGTAAGTTTTAAAACCTAAGTATACGTTTACTACGCTTACGAATATCCACAATGTAAACGAATACAACAACGATATATTTTTGTATTTTCCAGCGAAAGGAAATAAGCCGAGTATTTTCCCAATATAGTATGTGGGTTTTAGGTTACTCCATGTAGAATCCATAATTTACATAGAGTAAATAATTTTTTATAACGGAAAAATGTTCAATTTGCCAACATCGATGTAAAAGCCAATATCAATGAAAACACTCAACTACAATAACACGACTACAACTCAATTTGAGTAGGAAATCGTTTAATTTAAACTTGTTCAATATAACGATGGCCTAAAAACTCGACATTACTTCACCGAATTATTAAAATGATCGATTAAATGTCATTTTTCGTTGATACTCAAGTAGTTATTTGTTAAAATGATTGAAAAAAAAAATATATGTCGTTTATTGTTTTATTAAAATTATTAGATTTCGAAAATTAATTATTTAATTCCGATGTAGTGCAATATGGTACTGCTGATGACCAATTTTTTATTCTATAGAATAATAATTTTTTTTTTTTTCAATATTATTTAAATAGTTGAATCCCTGACTTTTTAAACGCCGAGGTTTTCCATGTATTGTTTTGAAATCTTCTTACATAATATTGCATAATTTTTTGATTATTTTATTTACGAATTCTCGGACATTGTCGATCTGTAGAATAGCAGGTGAATCAAATGTTGTGAAAATATCCAGCAGAATATAAGCCACTTCTTGGGCACGTTTTGAGATTATTAGTTTTACAACAAGACGTTTTTTCGCAGTAAATACTGCACTTTTTTGTGGTAAGATATATAAAAATTTAAATACGTCATAATTGATTCCCTTTTAATGTTTCATATTTTTTATTAATCTCATATTCCATATGGTTTCGTCCACCATGGCCGATAGATAAATGAATATAATTTATAATAATAGTTCTTCATTGTAAACATAGTACTGTAAATCATTAATTTCACTAACTAAAACAATTAATTGTTCAACATTAGATACTGTGATTGCGTCATATTTCTTTAAAAGTTTATGGCCCCTTGATTTTAATTTGATTTATTTTACTTCGGAAATTAGTTCATAGTACTTAGTTTTAGTTAAATATGTACTATTTATGTTTTTTATTTTAACACAATAGATATTTCAGTTTTGTAAACATTGCTCTTCCATTTTAATTTAAACCACTAAACACTACACAACACTGCAGTTTACGCAAGTGCACTACGACAAACGACACAGTACCTAATGAACATTTGTAACAAATATTACTGAAGATTTATATTAACGAATTTATCTCAAGCCGATAAGACACAACTGTGTAAGTTAAATAATCGAAATAGTTAGAATAGATTACGTGCGCGCACCGGCTAGTATATCATATAGTATGATTATAGAGTTACCCATCATTCAATTTATCTCAAGCGGATAAATCATAATCCATACATCAGCCAGAAACACCGCGTTACAATGTTCAATTTACCACGAGCTGAGTATACTAGTGACCGGCTAATGTAGTACCTTACCCCGGGTAAAGTAGTATTTTATTGTGTTACCCCAAAAACGTTGTGCATTGTACGCATTGCTTACAACATGCATAATGATATGTGCTAGCTAACTGACTGATTCCTCATCGCCTAGACGGAACCGCAGAAGCTATGAGTATGAAGTTTGGTCGGTAGTTAACGTTTTTTAATGTAGAAGATCCACTAAGAAAAGATTTTCCATAATTCAATCCTTTAAGGTTTATGGTATTTTTGGAAAAAAAAGTTAAATTTTATTTAACTTATTTTATTTTATTTTATTGTTCATTTATAAGTCACCTTGGTGACATAGATGATAATTTGGTTGTCACAAACAAGAAATCTATTATTATTATTATTATTTATACAATTATATTTTAGATTCTGAGCGAAGCGAAGAGTGGTGTATTGGTTTTATTATGATGTATATTTTTTTTGTGTCTATAAACTTTTCTACCAAAAATGTTGCATTTAGGCTCTAGTTGGTATACTTTTAAATGGTCTTTTTTTTAAAATTTGTATTAATATTCGAGACTTTGAGGAAAAACTAGTTCTTTAGGTTAGAAAAATTAAGAGATTAAAAATAAGGTTGTCATTGCCAAATCGTTTTCATTTATTTTTAAGTTTTTATTATTTTAATTTTTAATATTTTAATCTTTTTTAATGAATCGTTGTTATCATGAAAACACACATTGTTGAAAAATAATCCTATTGACTGAGATCTGTCAGAATTGTTTTTCGTTAGCAATAATTAATATTTGCGTACAAATATAAATTAAATTCCCTTCTATATCCTACCTTCTCAACTTCTTACATACAACAGTGGCCTACCCACGGCCTGTGACGCGAAGAATGTCCGTTGTTTTGTTTTTTTTTTCTTAATCTGGCCATGCAACAACGAAACTGTGAGTGGAGTGTCGGATTCACGGATAAATACGTTTTAAAAAAATAAAAAAATAAATTATTTTGTTTAATACTAATACGAACAAATCCGTGCGTGACATACTTGTGCCAACGACGAGAAGTTCGAAATACTTCTAACGACAGGGGGGAAAAAAGGAGTGATTTCGGATTAAGACTAAAAAGGCATAGTCCCGGGAAGATCAACGGGAAGCATTTTAATGGGAACCCATTAATTGAAACAGTTGGTTCCCGGGAAAATCGAAAAGCTTTGCGACGGGAGGTTTCCAGTAGACATTGTTTTGGAGCAAAATAGGGGTATAAACAGACACTAAACTGTACAGTGTACAGGCGTGTAAACTGCACATGGGTGTAGTCGTGGACAAACGCACTGGTGTGACAGCTGTATTTTTGTACTGGAAGTTTGTAGACTAAAAAATTTGATCGAACAAAAAAAGTGGTCAAGGTAAGGCCGGGCGAAACAGTTAGTCTTTACATAATACTTACATAATATATAATATCAAAAACTAAATTATACTCAGGAGTGACGCGACGATACACTAAACACTACTTTTTTCAGTAACGGTTCTGTGTTAACATTGCTACACCACTGCTGCCGTCGTTTATTATAATAGAGATAATATAATACAAGAGGTGCGTAGAGACTACCTGCTTTACAAAACACCTATAAAAGATTAGCGTGTTAGCCAGACGCAGAAAGGATGGACAAAACAAATCTAAAAAGACGGACATACTTCCCACGATGGGTGCGTCATTGTTGTACATAAGAAGTTAGGAAAATAGGATATAGAGAAGAATTTAATACATATCTATATAAAACAGTTAATCATTGCTAACGAAAATCAATTCTGAGCGGAGTTCTACTACACTTGTTTAAAAAGGCCGTAATATTTATGATTTTTTTAAAAAAAATTTGATTCTGAAATTCTTATAAATAAAAATACTACATTAAACTCAACTTTTTCTTGTTAACCACAAAGTACAACTGGATCTTCTGTTAAATGTTGAAGTATTTCTATTTGGCTAAACAATTGTATCCACAAAGTATTACAAAGTTGCCAGTATTTTAAAATGAATTACAACAAAAAAACAAAATTAAAAGTAATAAAATCATTATTTTCATAAATTTTTCCGATTTTCACAACCTAACCATCCCAAAGTGCTCGGAAAATCAAAAAATGACCTCATTAAAGTACTAAAAAAATGAAATTCTCTTCCAGAAAAAGTGCTACAATTCATACAAAAACATCAGAACAAGATTTTTGATAGAATTTTTGTACACAGCATAAAAAAAAAAATAACAAAAATAAACATCATTGTAAAACCAATACATTTCTTGCTCTAAGTAACTCAATAGCAAAAAATTAGGATACCAAAGGAATTTCAAGATTTTTATATTCAAACATACTCCGAAACTTTATAATAAATCTGCAATTATATAATTACGGTTAAGTATATTTTGAATTGTTTTCATTCAGAAAATACAAACATTATAATACACACTTAAGATAAAATTATACTTTTATAAATACAATAATTATGTGTTTCGTTTTCATTTGCCATCCTACATTGAATTTACACTTTTTATGCACTAGAAATCGCTAACTGTATCTGAATCAATACCACTAAATAAGTAACAACTGCTGCGATAATCTATAAAGAAATTAAAATTAACTTTAATGTAATTTATATCGCGTTAATATATTTGGTATGTGTTAGGTGCGAATGATGATTGAACATAATAATATTACCTACCTACACAATAGTTCAATACCTCTAAGACTCTAGATGAAGGCATACATGACTCAAGATTAGGCACAGGGTGATTTTTTTTAATGAGTTTTGTTTTTGTTTTTTCAGTTATTATAAAATCGTTTGACTAATACCTATTTTTAAGATTTTACCCTTATTCCGTACTCCATTATAAACACATATCCACTTTTGATTTTCAAATAAAAACGCCTCCCTATTTTTAAATCTGATTTAAAAATGGAATATTTATCTATTCATTGTTAAATGTATAACATTAATATTGAATATACTTTTTAAAATAGAAATAGTGAAGGATTATTATCTGAAAATTGATATGCAATTTATTAACCTTCCTTACTCCTCCGGTCTAATTTTTAAACTATTATTGTTTCTCATAAACGTTATATCTGATATTAGTATTATGCATATCGGAATGTTCAAACAAAACATCATCTTTAATTTATATTTAGTTTATAATGCTATGTACCGATTGAAGAAGTTTATAGTCTAAATTGAAAAAATCGTACACGTCGAATACAATTGGATGATTCCAACATGTCATGATTAATACTTCAAACTAGAACAATCAACACGTTTTTCATTAAATACGTTTGTTACAATAATATATTTATCCTGTTACCACCGTATATATATATATTAGTTAAGGTAATAATAATTGTTTACTTCTTTCATAACCACGGTGTTTGTTGTGATGCTGAGGGCTTCGTGAGCAATCAGGACCGTTTTGTTCGCCTATAAATAAAATCGTAGACTGATTAAAAAACTATATTTTTAATCGGAATCAAAGCGTATTTATTGAATTTATATTATGTCATTTTGATTTTGATTTATTAACATTTTTTTAATAATGTTTATTTGTTTGGCAAGTTACGATGCTGGGCTAACGAACTGTATCTGAGCACTGTGTGTAATAAATAAAATATAATAAATTCCGTCAAGTCGATTTGGTTGCCTAATCAACGACACGTCATAATACAACATGGCATTATAATATTACATTTTATGAATGTTATTAATATTATAAATCACAGTGCTCTATTATTTCTGTCAACAGCTGATGTGTGTAAAATAAGATTACTCTGTTATCCTAATATGTTACTTATCTTAAAAAGTTGAAAACGAATTTGTCAAAATTGTTAAAAATCATATATACAACAAGTATGGTATAGGTCAAATGTACCTAATACCTTTCTTTCAAGTTCAAAATAATGTGGCTGTATATATAGTTAAACTAAAATATTTTATCTACATAATAACTATTATATACACCCTCTCCTCTCCCCCCAAAAAAACTGTCTTTTGACTGTTTATAAAACAAGAAGCAAATAAATAAAGAACATATTGTTGGTTTCTAACGAATAATATTATTAATATTATATATATAATAATAATGATATTATTATTATCATATAATAAATAAATATGTTTAAAGGCTGTGTTGGAAAATATTTTAGAAATGAAAATCTTAACATATTAATAAATTCTAATTCTAATAATGCGTTTAACGTCGATTTATAACGATGACAAATTACAAATTTTATCTATGAAGGTATCTATGAATAATCTAATAATTTTTCGTAGTAGTAAATTATTTTTTTATTTGAAAATGTATATTTTTTTTTCTTTATGGATTTATAAATCCATTTGTCTACGGAAACTAGAATGTTGATTTACAGGTTTTTGAAAAAAACATTGCCGATTTCTGTAATGCCAGTACCAATGAGTATACAATATAGTTCTGAATATATTATTATACTTAATTTTGTGCCTGCATTCGAGTATACGAGTAGTCCAACAGATGTTGGATTTAATAATTTAAAATATCTAACTACACAAACTCTGTTTTATTTTTAAATTACGTATTACCATAAAAATATGATAGAAATGAAATCGATATTAACCACAAAAGCTCTTACCTCTTGCATGGTATTATGGGTTTCTCGAACAATGAAAAATACAAATAACAGTTTACTCAAACAATATATTAGAAATAAATTGTCAGCAAATAATGACTTAGATGATTTGTTTGTGTAGTTCAAAGTCATCGCTGTTACACATGCGGTAAAAATCAAAACTGAGTCGGTAATAACTAATATAGCGTGTAAAGCGTAATAGTTTTTAACTTCCTCCGTCAATAGCCGAAGTTCATTATACAAACTTGTTATTTCGTTTGGGTACATAAGCTGTGGGCAGGCCCAGGAATCCTTTATATCTATAAACAATATGATATTAAAACAATTTTCACGAACACTATTATATACCTACAAATTACGTTATATTAAATTACATCCGCAACGGTTGACATTAATATAAATTATGGGTAGGCAACCTACTAATTAAGTATAGATAAGTATGTCGGGGTAATATAAATTCAAGTATTTAGTGTAAACAAATTATTCAACATTGTTACCGGAGTTTATCCAGCATTTCATTTTTTGTACGTTTATTGTTACAATATTATTATTAGTACGAGTTTGTATTTTTATTCAGCGTTAAAAAAAAAAAAAACATTCTTATATACAACAGTAATTGATCAAGATCATTATAATGGAATCAATTTGAAAAATTCAATTCCTGACGACTACAACCCGGTAGAGTAGGTAGTTTATCTTTGTTATTATGTCAATAAGATATTATAACAATTAATTAAAATAAAATTAACAATATTTAAAGCACATTTTACATTTAGGCATTTTCCATTAAGCTGCATAGTATATTTATTGTTTGATTGCAATGTTTATTATTTTGTTTTTGAGTATTTTTAACTTTTTTATAGAATGTGTATAAATGATGATCAGTTTATGTTAACATTTTGAATGAATGTGAAACTATGTAGATACTTGGTTTTGGTCTAGGCAACCACATTTAATACAACACGTTTGATTCATTTGAAAATTAAAAAAATATTACAATAGCATATTTGTAGGTAGATATGTTAGTAGATATTTTAGTATATAATGTTAGTGGAATCTTTACATTTCATCAGTAAGCTTTTAAATACAAATTTATTAAAATTCATATGTGCATGAAAACTAAAACAAATATTTTAGGTTATACGATTGCACTCCAGTTTTAAGACCAAGGTTAGGAGGAAAATAATTAGAGATAACACTGCAGAAACCATTTACGATAGTATGCATTTTTCTAGAAATTATAGCTATGTTATCAAAGTACTCAATAGTACTCAAAAGTACTCAAAGTACAAAATTAACTTGGGGTGATTTTATTGAATGCGATGAATCATCTTATAGACTTATAATTTATAATCAATTATCTATAGCATAACTACCAGCATCTTGCCCGAAAATATTTTACTACTACGTTATAATACAAGACAAAGTTTATTGTTATATTTATTTTGGTGTTACAATAATGTTTTTTTTTAACTATGAACAACTTTTCTACCAGAAATTGTGCCCCAATTTTCAAGTGTAGAACTATTTCTGAAAGAAAATCTTGCTGGGTGATGCTTTAACATTTTTATAATAAATGATAAAAAAAACGTATCAAAACGGAACGATTTACGAAATTTATTATTTTTAAATTATAAATATAAATAAACGACCTTTTAAAACACGTGTAACCGAACTCTGCTCAGAATCGTTTTTCGTTAGCAAAGAGTAATCGTTGCGCACAGATATAAATACATTAAATTCCCATATATATCCTATCTTCCCAACATCTCACCTAAAATAATAGCCCATCCATCGTGCGAAGTATATCCGTATCTTTTTTATTGGTTCAATCGTTACCTATATAATATTTACAGGATTTTTTGCTGTGTGTATGGTAAGGAAACAGCAAATTAAATAGTGTTTCGTGGGAATTGTATGAAAATTAAAATTAAAACATATACAAAATTACTTTTAAGTCCAGACGTTTAATCATATTTTCACCGTCCTCAATATACTTTACGATTTTTTGTTAAACAAATTACTTAGTTATAATATCATGAGTACCCGCCGAGTCAAATGAATTTTGATTGTTTGATAAAATTTTAAAATGTTTGAACTGCTGTATTACTTACTGCATGCAAATATATAATTTGCCCATTTGTATCTTTCTCTTAATATTCTCACAAATACTGCATATTGTATCATCATCAACATTGTTGCAACAGAAATCAGAGTCCACGATACCAAAATTGAAACACTCAATAATGAATAATTCACTGAGATTACAAAATAATACGTTTCAATTAATACAGCGTATAACAAATAAAATGTTTGCACTTTCAAATCTGACGGACACGACAGTTGTAATGTATACGAATCAAATCCATTGAATTCTTCAATTAACTTAAAAAACCCTTTACTTCTATGTATAGAAAACACCACACAGAGAAGAGCCACGATGAGTTTAAAACTTATCATAATGTTAACCATCTGTAATCAAATCGCATCGTCACGGTAAGTATATATACAACATAACAATATTACGCACATTAATATTTAATACTCACATTCATTAAAAACGGTTGGGTTGATACGCGGTCCATCATGCTAACGTAAGTTTTAGTACCTAAATAAATACTTAATACGGTAACTAAAATCCACAAGATTAACGTATAAAACAATGATACGTTTTTACAATTTCCAGCTAATGGAAACAAGCCGAGAATTTTCCCTATATAGTATGTAGGTTTTAGGTTAATCCACGTATTGTCCATAATTTACCGGAGTGAATATTATTTTGTAAAATACTGCTATTTTTTTCTTTTTAAACGACAATGATATTACGTACAAAAAGACGACAAAAAAATCGACTCTATTTGATAACGAATATAGATACGACTAAATTATTACAATTGAAACTTTTTTTTTTTACTAATGCCTACAATTTGACATTCTTTCTTCGTGTTATAAATAATCATTGATTAACTGTCATTTTTCGTCAGCACTCAACAGTTATACTCGATAAAACGTTTAAACGAAATTAAAAAATACCGTTTGTTTCATGAAAATTATTAGATTTTGTGATTAAACTATAATTTCAAACAATTGATTAGTTAAATATACAAATACATACTGTATTTAATTAAATATTTATAAATACACAATATTACAAACATTACAATGCGTTTTCAAAATAACAAGTGTAGTTTGGTGATACATTATATGATTAAATTAAATAATAAATAAATTGTTATAATAAAATATAATAAAAAAGGTAGGATATTGTGGGTAGTTTAATTTGTATACTGTATGCGTTAAATAAACTATTACAAATAAAAAAAAGGATTCTGAACAGAACGCGGAACATGGATAAATATGTTTTTATTAATTTATTGCATTGAACATTCTATATTAGTTTGTAATAATAAAGAAATACAATACAATTGTTTGTGTTTTCAACGAATTTATTACAAATTTAACACTAAAAGTATTATGCTTTAATGAAATAAAATGTCTACTTACCTACCTTAAGAATAGACAACGTGCTCATGGAAAATATTTATGATTTAAAATGTAAATTAATTAATTTACACGGCATTCTTAGATCCGCTGAATTGTAATAAATCCATTACAAAAAATAAATAAAATAATAATAATGTTTGTTTAAAAGAGTTATAATTACCTTTAATACGTTTTAATTGTTAAAATATAAATAAGATAAAAATGAATTTTTTATATAAATTGGAATAAGATATTGTTCAGGACTGTTTAAATTATTTCATTATCCATATTCTCGTCAAAAATTAAAGTACATCGTATTTATATACGCGAACAAATTAGTGGGCAAGATTATAAGCGAACCCCAGGGTAAAAAAACTTGGTCTAGCCTATTATTATTAACCTGTCTATTACAGCGTCAAAGCCGTTCGAATTAAACATTGTGAACATCAAAATTAGCAAATTGCTATTTTACATTGACCAAAATATGCAAACAATTAATGAAATATCCATAGATATCTATTGGGTTCGTAAATAACATACAATGGACAGGACATGTTGTGTACACCGGTTACATAGCCTGAAGTACAGCAGTATTCATCGAATAAGGAAAAGCAGTATTAAAATTGGTATCCGGCAATTTGATCGCGTACAATTTATCGTGGCTGCACATTGGTCGCCGGTTAAATTGAAAGCAAAAAATCCAAAATAAATTATATTAGTTTTTATAGATTTTTTTCCAGTTTTTACTACAATATAAGTATTCCTTAAAAATTATTAAACGATGTATTATTAGTCCTTGCATTTTTTGTACTGGTCACATTTCCATATTCAGTTTTCTTCAACGGGTTTTTTCGAAATTTTAATTTATGATAATAACCCTTATAAATTAGTTTATCTTTACCTTTTTCGCTCGTTATGCATTCGACTTTTTTTTCTTTAAAGTCAATAAAACCACATAGTCCACGTTAATACACTAGTACAACCTAGTAATCTAATTTAATCTAGAATAATGTAATCTACGAGTATATTATAGATAACGAGTTTTTGCAATCAATACAAAATCCGATTAATTATTGTATAATATTTTTAACAAACTGTGCAACTTTTATACGTGTTATCATACCTAATATATAATAAAGTAATTTCATTTCATTTAATTTATTGAAATACACGTCTGTAGACATAAAGTACATACAAATTTATAACAATTTTCTTTTTTATCGTTTTAAATTAGTGGGTAATACTTTAAACAGAAAAATATACACATACAATATAATCTTAGCACATAAGCATACAAAGTACATAAACGAGGTCCATATACATAAATACACAAACAAATTAAATTAAGTACAGGTAATTAGAAATTTAGAATATTTACTCGTATCGCAGTTTGAGAAGAATGAAGTAAATCAACATTCTTTAAACGGCTATTACATGTGGCTAACGCTCTGTTAAATAAAGAAAAATAGGCGTATAGTGTTCTGTGTTTAAAGATATGATTGGTCGGCCGGTTTCCATAGTTAAAAGGTGGAACGATCGGAACGGCGAAAAAAGCAGATTAGTCGAAAGTAATGAATGTCAGGAGTTTAAACTTTGGTACAAGAAAAAAAAAAACAGATAATCAATTTCTAACCAGAGAAGTGTTGGGTTAATACACGGCTATAGCCTTGGTTAATAATATAACATTATTATGATGTGGTTACTATATTTCAAAGTTTAATATTAAATTTAATCCGAACATTTTACTTTGTAAAAAAAAAAAAATGTTACATTTTTTCCTTATGCCCTTCATATACTTTATTTGTAAATGAAACAGAAGATTAACTAATATATTATAGCTTATCTGTTGTGTACTATTATCTATGGGTAGGTATAAAATATGTACAATAAACACAGAACAATAATACAGGTTATAAAAAGAATACCTAGTAAATAGGAACATATTAACTTATATAATGTTAACATTAGCAAATTTATGTTTTGTTGTTTGAATTTCGAATTTATTAGGTATACGATAAATTTAAATTTGACTAATTTTCTATACAATTTTACATTTAAACTTTCGAGTTATTAATCAAACGTTTTGATTTTCATTACTTTCAGTGGTTGTAAGTGGAATATAAATAAAAATACGTATGTAATCAAATTGTAACTATACGCTTAGAAAGACATTTTCAGTTCGCGACTCGTACATAAAACCACACTATAAATATTCCAAAATAATATGTTAAATCAATTATGGTATATTAATTGTATATTATAGTTCGGTACCTATTTTAAAGTGCTTTCATGGAGAAAACACAAATTACAATATAAAATGAATTTAATTATTACAATAAAATTACATATTATTATCATGTTTCGTTTTCATAAACCGTAATCGATAGGCATATTTTTAAATATTGTTCATAATCGCCAGCTGCAACTGAACCAAAACCACTACATACGTGACGACTGCTGCAACTACCTAAAAAAAACATGAATGTTACAAATAATAAATTGTTGCTATTTGTTTTGGTACATCTAATACATAGTTATAAATAAATGCTGTTGTATATTATGTTTCGCGGAATATATTTTTAATAATATTTTAACGGTAACTTTAAACACATATTATTCGCTTATTGTTAGGTACCTAACTATGAATTCGTTGCAAATGCCTTTGTTTAACAATTATCAAACCCCGTATTGAAACGTATGTTTTGCTTTTTAAATGTATTTATGGTATTTACTGTTTTTAACAATTTATATTTTTTATTTATACATTATCTACACAAGAACCATGGGGTGAATAATACATGAATGCACTTTTTATAAAAACATCTTGTTTGAATATTGATTATTTTCAGTTTTTTTTTTAACGCTCAAAGAAAAAAAAACCAAATGTTTCAGACCAGTAAAAGTACGTCATAATACGTGGAATTTCACAACCAACTAACCCTTTAACAACCAATTATTAGTATTTTTTTTTTTTTTTTTTGGGAACACCCATAAAAAAATGTTTTTTTATAAATTTCAAAGGTTTTATCAGCTATCTTTTTTTGCAACTTTAAATTTTTATTAACTTTTTTAAGGATTTTACATGGATTTTGTTTAAATTGTTTACATTCTTAACCTAACTTAAAACTAAAATTATATTTAAACGCATACTGATTGAAGAAGACTGTAGTCCAAATCAAAGAAATCGTATACGTCAAATACAATCGGATGATTCCAACAGGTCATGATCAATATTTCCAACTAAACAAAATATTATACATGTGAATTTTTTACAACAAAATATTTATACCGTAGGCGTTTCAGTGGATTTACCTCTTTAATAACCAAATTGTTCGTTGTGAGACTGAGAGCTTCGTGGGCAATCGAGACAGTTTTATTTGTCTACATGAAATCGCACATAATTTGGTTGGGTTTTAATAAAAATTACATAATCATATCAATACGATGGACACAACTTTGTAGTATTACGTTCATCTAAAACACTTACTTCTTTTATGGTATTATGGGTTTCTCGAACGATGAAAAATAAAAACAAAAGTTTACTCAAACAATATATAAAAAGCAACTGGTTGTGCAATAATGACAAAGTTATTCTATTGGTATAATTCAACGTCAACGTTGTTACACACGTAATACAAATCAAAATCGAATCTGTAATAATTAATACGATATAGAACGCGTAATAATTTTTGACTTGTCCCGTTAAATTACGAAGTCGAGTGTACAAAGTTGCCATTTCGTTTGGGTACATGAGCTGTGGATAGGCTGTGGTAACGTTTAAATCTGTAATGAATTGTATTATGTTATAATATAAATTAATAACGTCTACTCTCAGCGATATAAAATAATTTAAATCGAATAAATAAACTGAACTAAAATGAGTTATATTTGAATACACTTTGGTTACTATATTGGTGCAAACATTTCTCTAACCATATGTCTTGTAAGTTTTAGGTTATCTAGATTTCTATACCATTGTATTTATATTATAGGAAATCTGATATTAATCTGATTCCGACAGTTTATGACATTAGGTCCTAGGAAATTAGGGATTAAGTTCTCTGTTTTTTTTTTTTTTTTTTTAACATTTACAAAATCGTTTTTAAGCACAGATGTTTAATCATATTTTTTATTGTTCTCGATTTATTTCATAATTTTCAGTTACAATAATTAACTTTTTATAATATTATTAGTACCCGCTGAGTTAAATGAGTTCTGGTTTTTTGATCGAATTTAAAAATGTTTGAATAATTTTATCACTTACTGTGTGAAAATATGTTATTTGTCAATTTGTATCTTTCCCTTAATAACCTCACAAATTCTACGAATTGAATGGTCATCAACACTATCACAGCATTAATCAAATTCCACATTACCAGTGTGGGAACGCTCACTAGTGAATAATACACCGTGAGTATAAAATAGTAAATTTCAATTAACAATGCGTACGATAAATAAAACGTTTGCGTTTTAAAATTTGACGGACATTGTGTTTGCATTGTGTACGAGTCGTATTCGTTTAATTTATCGATTAACATCTTAAATCCTTTACTCCTTTGTTCGGAAAACACAGTGCAAACAACAGCCGTGATGAATTTATAAAAAATCCTTATGTATATAATCTGTAATCATAAATATTTAAATTACATTACATCAAGCTACGGACACAAATAATTTTAAATGATGTATGTGTATTATAAAATGATGTATAATACGACTACTTCGCACATTCGTCAAAATTGGCTGTCTTGACGCGTGTTTATCGATAGACTTATCGTTAGGCGCGATAAACATAAGGTAAACTTGCACTATAATTAACGAAAACCACAGGATAAACGAATAAAAAAATGACACGTTTTTATGTTTTCCGGTGAACGGGAATATACCGAGGATTTTTCCAACGTAGTACGTTGGTTTTAAACTAATCCACGAAGAATTCATAATAATATATAATGTATTATGTTTGTCGGAGTGAACAGCTTTTGCAGTACAACCGCTATTTAATTTTTTTTTTTCGAAAGACAGTGCCATATTGAAATACTTATACCGATAGAACACAACAATTATTACCTACTTGACACCGATTAATCGATAAAGTAAACAATATTGTCGTCTCAGGGTCAATAAAATATGACTGAAACATTTCGAATCAAATAATATCGCAGAAAGGTGACACTCTCGAATCGAATTACTTATAAATTACTATCGATTAAATGCCATATTTATGTATACCGTACACAGGGCCAGCGCTAGGGGAGGACAAATGCGACACAAGTCCGCGAAGCCCCACGCTTGTTTTGGTCTTAATGAACCCCGCGGTATGCTAATGTATAGGTGTTCAATCATTAGTTACACTAAAGCATAGTCCAGGGCAAGCCCGGATTAAGAGGGGGTCTAGGAAAGGTCATGGCTCCCGGGCCACCAAATTCTCAGGGTCTCATTTTTTGACACAGTATGCTTTTTATGTATGCGTTTAACCGTCAACTTTGTACTTTGATATATTATTAATTTTTTCGGTGTCTAATGATTTTTAATTATAATTCGTGTTATTATATAATTGTGTATTATATATTTATTTAAATGATATTCGTGGCTTTTTAATTGAGATCTATATGATGTCTATACTATTTATTAAATGGTTGGCCCTAGTGCCTCTAAATGTCTTTATCCGGATTCGATCCAGGGTTTCACAAAACCTAGCGCCGACACTGACCGTATACCTGATAAACCATTACGCGTATGCGTTTCATTCAGACACGTGGAACGCATGGGCCATGCGGCACACGAGTCTTGTATATTGAGTCAATAAAAGTCTAAATATTATAGAGTACAACGTACGTTTGCAGGTGTATAGTAAAGAATAATTTTTACCTTATCTATGTTATCATTTTTCTGGATATTCGTACTATTCATCTGATGTTTACCTACTCAGATTCATTTGTATTTTTAAGTTAACTTAGCTTCAATTTTTTTGTATTTTGTTTTATTAACTTAATTTGGTTAAAATAAAAAAGGTCAACTTCCCGTGCTTTGGTTTTATACACTTGGCTACGACGTGGTTATTTAAACGACTACCTATAGTTATTTCTTGGACATCTTAATTTGTTATGGTTTTAGATTGGAATTAACTGTGTTTTATTAGTTTTTAATGAAAACTGTGAATTGATAATACCTTAACCAAAATATACTATGAAAATGTATGCATCAATCATACTGTACACCAATATATATCTTCTAAATGTTTAAATTGTGGTTTTCAATATCGAAAAAAAAACCGCAGTTTTAAATTTCATATATTATAATATTGGCGTTTGGATTAATCAATAAATAAAAAATGTATTTTTAAATCAAATTTATTTAATTTCGTATATAGCAAAATAAAACAATAGAAAACAGCTTTCACCGATTCATCTTCAAAGTAAATTTTATGCTACTCATAGTATAATGGCTTTTTTGAAAAGTTCTTTTAGATAATTTTTACAATGCGTAATAATATTATATGTCAAGGAAAAGCAAAATTACACTTTCGATGTATATAACGTTTACCACTTCATATTAAATAAATAAATATATATAGAGAGTGATCAATCTATAGTAACACACTCATTATCTCAAAAAATATTAACTTAATTAATTTAAAATTTGTTTTATAAAACATTTCAAAAAACAATTGGTTCTACAATCTTACAATTATGTTATTTTTTGTCAGCTTTGTTTTTTTTTGGAAGGAGGGGGTGGTTAAAACCTTTACCCACATTTTATTTTCAAATGGCAACCTATAATCGAAATTCCATAAAAAAATAGATCGTGTATTAGTTAAAATACATTTTGGTGTTCACATTTTTGATTTCTGTCAGTCCATTAACAAGATATTCCCCTTTTAAGTTTGAATCGGAGGAGAGTGGTGTTGCATCATTTGTGTAGTAGCATGGCGTGTGGCGTTTTAACAATGTAGCACTACTCTCCTCCGACCAAAATTTAAAGGGGAAATACCAACGGATTGATGTAAATCAAAAATTTCAATGCCAAAATATATTTTAATTTATACCTGCTAATATATATATATATATATATTTATAACAATTTTAATATAGGTTGCCGTTTGAAAATCAAATATAGGTAGTGGTTTCACTCCTCAAAAATAAGGGTTACAAAACATAACGTAAATGCAAAATTGTAGAACAGTTTGTTTCTTAAATGTTCTATAAAACAAATTCTGATTAAAGTTAACACTTTCCGATGTATAATAAGTGTCTTACGATAGATTGTCACCCTGTATACTCACTCATTATATGTTTGGTCCCAGAGTAGAAAGTTAATTTTGTATACCTAGTGAAAAACTAGACCAATTACAATTTTCAAAATATATTATTTATTCAATAATACACTACATTCACTATTGTTTTTAAATTCACACACTTAAAGCATTGAGACCACAAAATAAAGAAAAAGAAAAGGCCAAAAATTTATTTAAGACATTATACTTAAAAATAATATATATATACCGTGTGTAAGTGATACGAATTACGTCTTAATATTTCAGCTGAATGACCTTGGATTGAAATGAGGTGTTCGGGAGTACTGGAATACACATTTTCAGATAAATTTCGAATTTCTACCCCTTACGGTAGGTATGCGATTTTTTTTTTAAATGGCAACATTTTTTTTTTACAGGTAGTTATTTTTTTTAATTACAAAATTGACAAAATTACAGTGTGTTGAAATTTAATCTGTGTACAAATAATAGACAGGTAAACTGATAATAAAGAGGATAGCTCGATTATAAAATGATTATTGCTACAGTTTTGTATTCATAAATATTAACTTCGTGAATACATCATATATCACATAATATGTGAAATATATATATCGTAGACATACAGTACATGTTTATTCCCAGAGAAGAAAATGAGTGTATGACAAATTTTGTGACTCGAAAAAATAGCTGGTACTGTTGAAAAATCGTATCCATATGAAATCAAATAAAAACTAAAAAAAAAAAAAATGCCTTTTGACTTTCAGATCTCGACAATAATTTTTAACCAAATAACAAAAAAAAAATCTGACCCTAATTTGATTGAATGAACAATTAATTGAATTCAGTTATTTTCATAATTTTTCTAAAACTTTTTAATGCAGATTTTGTAATATTATTTATATATGTATACAAAGAGTATTTGGTTCTATTTTCATTTATTCAAATAATCAACTATTTATATACCCAAAATGTTGTATGATATTGGTTTAAATAAAACATGAATTACAAAAAGTAGTTGACAAATTTGCATGTGTACACATCCTCATCAATAATCGCTAGTGCCAGCCTTGAATAAAACAAAGCTCTCGTCGGTTTTTGTTTGGAACAAGATTTCTGGTAGTTGTTTACAGATACAAACAAATTTAAAAAACTCGTACATATATGTGTATATTTATTATTTTTACTATTCTTACTATTATACTATATATAGTAAAACCAATACATTCCTTGCTGCGCTCAGAATTTATAAAAATAAATTCGATACGCCGTGTATTGCATATTTATTATAGTAGTTATCACATAATATAATGATAAGAAACTTATTTATAGTCACGCCCAGTAGCGGATTTTCAACATTTTTTTGGAGGGATCCTGAAAATTCATCATTTACATTTAAAAGGTATCTATTAATAGATGCCTCTTTTTTTTTTGGATGACATTTTATTAAAATAAAATTAGTATATGGGGGGTCTGAACTC